TTATTTAATAGTTTTCATTCCATAATATGATATATATATATATACCAATTACATCTAATTCATCGTGCCATTGTTATTAAACATTCTATTCTTTTTTGTTTTTATAAAAAAAAAAAATCGCAAATTTTGAATTTTCAACATATTTTAGTACTAAAAAAATATGTTCTAATCTGAATTGTATGATATTATATTATACTAATTATTGAATAAAAGTTTAACCTCTAACATTAGAGGTTTTTCTTTATTTAATAGTTTTCATTCCATAATATGATATAATTTGAACTGTATAGCAGAATTTCTTTTAATAATAATAACCCAAATAATTCCTTAAACATTACATAAATGTGACTAATCTAATTGCCTTTCCTCTGTCTGTTACAAATTAACAAATATTAGATGCCAATGAAATTTTGGTATGACAGTTAAGGTGAGGGCTTAAGAGTAGAAAAAATAATAACATGCAATAAATAAAAAGAGCAGATCCTTATTACATGTTGATTTTCACGTTTTGCTAAATGAGCAAGAGTGAAGTGTGTTCAGTGAAACTATTTTATCTTCAGAAAAAGTTTGACTGTAATCATGATAAATTTCACATATTTAATCTCTAGATTTTGGTGCAACTGCCCCTGACCCTGAGAGAAGATGTCCTCTTTGGAATGGCATTTTGTTAGTTAATGCATCTGTGTGAATCAGGGGTTCTGTGGACCGAACGACCTGAGGAATCACCCCCACACCAGCTTGTTGTCCTCTGTATGATGCCCAAGTGACCAAATATAGACCGCAAATAATTAGAAATCCACCAATGACACTGTTTTGACACATGTAAATATTAAAGTCAGTTGCATGGATATTTGAGTGCTGTTTTTATTGCAGGGAGAAGACAATGCTGGAAGAGACATAAGTTTAGTCTTAATACCTTCCCAAATAAATAGGGCTGCCAAGGAAAATTCTTGAGAGAAAGGCAGATGCTGCAGGTTGGAGTGGATTATAAAGAGCAACTAAAGCAGGCCCCAAAATCATGTTGCCCCATGTCAGTAGTCCATAATTGAGGGCAGATGAAGCAATTCCCTGCAAAAGCCATATAATTGTAATTTCAGGAGCAACTAATTAAGTTTTACAGAAAATGAAAATTGTAAGAGGGTTCTTCCAATTTACAAACTTCTATTGTTCTATAATTGGAGCATTTTTGGGTGAAAAGAAGAAATTTAGAGCATCCAGTGCTACAAATAGCATCTTAACTCCAAATTAGAGGTCCAAAGAGCAAATGTTAATTTCACTGGGCAACAAAACTTCACCACTCCTTTATAGGTTTGTTTACTAAACCACTAGACCATCTAAAATTCTAAATAAACCAACATTATGATTGTCTTCACGTAACAGAATGCCAGTCATTCTTGCACATAACTGTAAGAGCTATGATCATCATTAAAGAGACCGAAACGCTTGCTGAAGCAAATCTTCATCATGCAGATAAGAGCTTCATAGCTTAAAAGAACATATGACTAATTTGGATCAACAATTCAACGTACTAAGCTCGTGTATCAACATATAGATCTTAATATGAATCTCTGGTTAAAGATTTGGCATCAGAATCAAAGTTATATCCAACTATCATAAACCTCCCATTATAGAATTATCACCACATCAAAGTCTTCAAAACTTATGGCAGCTAGTGTATCAATTGTAAAGTCTTAATTCTAATATATAACTATAAAGAAACATTAGAACAATTGGTAATGGTTTGTGCTGCAACGATTGTCAGAATCAAGGTACAATAAACCCAACCAGTAACTTACAGCATACAAAACCGCATAAAGCTCAGATTGTGTCAGATGCCATTGTGTTGACTCATTGGCCACAAAGAATGCTGTCGTTACCATCAGTATAAAACCAAAAAAATATGAATATGCTACAACTGAAATGCTGGCAGGATACTTTGCTAAAACAGGGCCCTGGAAGTTTTGCAAACGTGAATTACATCAGAAACTACAAGGAAATACCACAAATTGAACAAATGAAATGATGATTAGAGAATCTCATCTAAATAAAAACAATTTTATTCGTTTCAACAAATTTTCCTGCCAAGCATATAACCAAACAACGTCTTAAAATTAACCATCAAATCCTGTACCTGAATAACTAGGAAAGCAGCCATGCACATACAATTCCCAATCAAACATAGAACCCCAATGTGCCAATGTTCTAGTCCAAACACCAGAAAATTGGACACAAACCATCCAGCAAACTCTGGTTGACCCTTGACACTTATTTCATTTTGTGCTGAAAAGTCCATTTCCTGTCCGAGCAAAGTAGGGCCACGGAATAGAACCATTAAAATAGCACCAGAAACGCAGATTAAGGTACCTCCAACCTTCACTTGACCTTCAGTTTTAAGCAAATCTATTCTTTCTGTACTGCACAAACGAGTTCACACTTGACATTGAAAAAAAAATGACAACATAAATTTAAACATGTATGTCGATGAACATACGTATGCCAATCATAAACATATATGAGGAAGTAGAAATTTTGTCACTCTCACCCCATCATTACTGCCAAGAGAAAAGTGAAGACTGGAATTGAAGGCTGTATGGCAGCAGCATAAGTTGGATTCGTGTAGCTTAAACCAATGAGAAATAAAAGCTGATTTCCAAATACCCTATCCCAATCCAACAAATCCAGATAAGTTACCCAGAAGCAGTTATAAAATACAAAACAATAAGTGGCTGGATCAATTAGGATGGCTGCAGAGAAACAAACTCACCCAGTTAACCCAAGAAAGAAGAATGACAGAAGAAGGCGCCCAGTCATAGGCGGTCGGATCCTTCTATAAACAGGAAAGATGATTAACGCAAATCAGATGATTCATTTAACGCAAGCGGGTTTTGCAGGATAAAGATGATTCATTTAAGTACTTGATATGCATACTTCCATACCCAAGTAAATAAAGATATACAGCGTAGAGCTTGGAAGAGCCCATGTCAGAGACCAGCAGCAAAAGTTCAAAACCCACGAATTAAAACTAAAGGAAAACCCAAAACCTAAACTAAAACAGGAAGAATCCATATCGATTCC